GGGTAGGGAAAATTCCATTAAAATTTAAGCCTTTCATCTTTTCTCGTCCGTAAGTTACTGATTTCCCCACCAAAATTTTCATGTAACCGTACGAGAGTCCCAGGTAGTCCTAGGCAGCTGAATTCGAAATCTTTTAGTCCTACATAGGCAAGGAATATTCCACTAAAGTTTCAGCTTCCTGACTTCTCTCGTTCCAAAGTTAGCAATTTTCTCGCCAAAATTTTCACATGTCCGTACGTGGGTCTCAGTTTCTTCTAAACAGCTGATTTTGGTTGTAAATAAGTAGGGAACATTCCCTTTAAGTTTCAGCTTTGTGCATTTTCTCGTTCCCGAGTTAGTGAGTCCCTCGCCAAAATTTCCACATGTCCGTACTTGAGTCCCAGGCAGTCCTGTGCAGCTGAATTTGAAATCTTTTTGTAATATATGAGCAGGGAATATTACCCTAAAGTTTTAGCTTCTTAGCTTTTCCCGCGAAACTTTCACGTGGTCAAATGGGGGGCCCAGATGGGAATGAGTACTAATACCGCGGTCCTGGGGTGGCACCTGGCCGGGGAACACACTGGCGAAATTTCAGTTTCAAAGCTTGTGTGGCTGGCGAGTTGAAATACCCGGACAAACGAGCGCATACACACACACACACACAAACACACACACACACACAAACATACATACACACACTGACTGGGTCGTTGCAATATCCGTTTTGCTGCCTATTGCAGTGCTCTAGCGCTGCACGGTAAAAAGCATAACAAGTAGCACCAAGACCCAAAGGCGACAGGAAACTGGGCTCGGTGTATGAATGCATTTCGGTGATGCCGAAAAGCAGTCTTGGTATTACAGGATGCAAATTTCAAGCAGCTGCTTGCCAAAGTGTATATACGTATTTCTTCTAAACCAAAAAACACGTGAATAACCATTTGTTCATAAGTCAGCGACTGATGTATACGCCGAGCTTGTTCACATGGATCGATTAGAGCCGGTGAAGTGGGCAGCAAGAGTCCAGCTGCAAGAAGCTGGAAAAATCTTCGAAAAGCTTCAGCTGCTGTCAGAGGCTGTTGCGACGCCGTATTTACGACAGCATAATGCGACTGCAAGCACACAAAAGTGAGCCATAAACGCTGTATTGAATATTTTTCCAAAAAAGCAAAAAAAAGCCGATTGTCTCATTGAAACTCACAGCGTGACGAACTAAAGGATATACTGATTATGCAAAAACTATCACTTTAGGATCGTTGTAAAAGACAAAAAAAAAAAAAAACATTTGGAGCACATTTTGTTATTAGAAACAGGTCCCAGACGATGGCCTCTCGGAAGGAAGAAGGCCTCCGAGAATCTGACTTTAGAAAAATACGAAGACGTACAATTAATTCGATGTTCCAAACACTGAGATCTTTAAGCTGGCG